GCATCTACGATGGGTAGTTGCTGAGAAAACTGCGATGAAAATTTGTTATGTATGAAACTGAGAGACACACAGACAAACAGGAAGTTGACATTGGATTTGATTGAAAATGTATCCCACCATATAGTATGCCTCACAGAAGATTGTGTTAAAATTTCAAGTATCTACGATGAGTAGTTGCTGAGAAAAATGTGACGAAAATTTGTTATGTATGAAACGGACAGACACACAGACAAACATGAAGTTGACATCAGATTTAAATGAAAATGTATCCCACCATATGGCACACCTCAGAGAAGATTGTGTTAAAATTTCAAGCATCTACGATGAGTAGTTGCTGAGAAAAGCGCGACGAAAATTTGTTATATGTATGAAACGAACAGACGCTCCGACAAACAGGAAGTTAATAATGGATTTGAGCGAAAATGTATCCCATCATATGGCATACCTCAGAGAAGATTGTGTTAAAATTTCAAGCATCTACGATGAGTAGTTGCTGAGAAAACTGCGACGAAAATTTGTTACGGACGGACACACGGACAGACAGACAGACAGACACACAAGGGTAAAACAGTATACCCCCCTCTCCTTCGGAGCGGGGGTATAAAAATTAACCTTTCCAGTAATCCAGAAAATGTAGGTCAGATTCAGCATCCGAAGCCAGCCTAGTAGAATGCACCTTTAGATGTACCATCCATGCAAGTTTGGTCATTATAGGGCTCAAAGTTACTTGGAAATGAGTCCTGCACCATAAACTTTAACCTGTTTACTCGTCCAGAAAATGTAGGTCAAATTCAGCAGCCGAAGCAAGGCTGGTAGTATGCATCCTAAAATGTACCATCCATGCAATTTAGTCATTATAGGGTTCATAGTACACTGTACCTTGAAAATGAAACCTTCACCAAAAATTTAACCTGTTCACTCAACCGGAAAATGTAGGTCAGATTCAGCATCCGAAGCAAGGCTGGTAGTATGCATCCTAAGATGTATCATCCATGTAAGTTTGGTCATTATATGTCTCATAGTAACTTAGAAATGAAACCTGCACCAAAAACTTTAACCTGTTCACTCAACCGGAAAATGTAGGTCAGATTCAGCATTCGAAGCAAGTCTAGTAGAATGCATCCTAAGATGTACCATCCATGCAAGTTTGGTCATTAAAGGGCTCAAAGTATCTTCGAAATGAAACCTTCACCAAAAACTTTAACCTGTTCGCTCAACCGGAAAATGTAGGTCAGATTCAGCATCCGAAGCAAGGCTGGTAGTATGCATCCTAAGATGTATCATCCATGTAAGTTTGGTCATTATATGTCTCATAGTAACTTGGAAATGAAACCTGCACCAAAAACTTTAACCTGTTCACTCAACCGGAAAATGTAGGTCAGATTCAGCATCAGAAGCAAGTCTAGTAGAATACATCCTAAGATGTACCATCCATGCAAGTTTGGTTATTATAGGGCTCATAATATCTTCGAAATGAAACGTTCACCAAAAACTTTAACCTGTTCACTCAACCGGAAAATGTAGGTCAGATTCAGCAACCGAAGCAAGGCTGGTAGTATGCATCCTAAGATGTATCATCCATGTAAGTTTGGTCAACATTGGGCTTTTAGTTACTCGGAAATGAGACCTACACCAAAAACTGCACCAAAAATGTTAACCTGCACCAAAAACATTAACCTGGTCATTCCTTTGCTGAAATTGCAGCATCTGAAACTTTGACTGGTACAATGAAACACACTAGCAACATCTTCCATGCATATCTAATCAATATAGGACATAGAAGTACTTAAAAAGAAAACTGCTCCAAAAAACTTAACCTTAACCCGGGACGCCGACACCGACGGTATCACATAAGCTCCCCCCAACTTCGTTGTGGTGAGCTAAAAACTAGAACTGTCCAATAGGGACAAATACACCTCTGGGTTTTTCAGAGAAGGTGCCAATTCAAAAATACTTTATGGATCTAGAGGTGTTCACAATTTACTAGTGAAATATAATTGTTCATCATGTTTCTGAATGAATGAAACAAAGGTACAACCAAATGAATCATCAATACCAATACATTGCAATTCCATTGTAATATGTTGTAATATTTTTTTGTTTTATTTTTTTTTATTTCTGCATTGAAAAAAATATATTGCAGTTATGTGTTATGACACTCTGCAAACTGATTGTTGAAAAAAGAAATCAATACATATTATACAAAATCAAATTAATCTTGATAACTTTATATCAAATCTATTTTGAAAATAAAGAGCTGGTCATCCAGTGATGAAGTGCTTTGACAGACAATAAATTGCAATTAAGAGAATAAGAAAAGAGAGATCTATAATTCTTCTGCCCGATTCCCAGGAGATAACATATGGTTGATAATAAGATGCCTTAATGTTCAACTTCCCACACCAAACTCATTAATCTATCTTTAACTGGATGCATGTCCAGTCATTATTTCTAGGAGAAAAATGAAATTACATTATCTTCTGTGCAATGTAAAAACTGTTTTTACACTTGATGATGTTTCTTTTTTTAAAGTTTTTATGAGTAGTTTTAAGCTGTAGTTCACATTTTTGTACAGATATTCTAGATTCTATGTCTTAAACCTTATACATGAGCCCAAAAAGAACAAGCCAATTAAGGTCATACGCAGCGTAGTTTAAACTTTTTTGGATTCTTCTCTTAAGTTGAAGAGTTCCACTAAATAAAGGACATATGTGCAATATCCTTAATAATAAGTATTAATTGATTTATCATGTTTATACACTTCTTCTTATACATTTTTTGGTGAAAAAAAAATCTGAAATTCATGTTTTATTAAATTATAATTTTTGTACATTATTATTTGAATAATGTAAAAATTTTCAAAATTCGATATTTTTTCAAAATACTTGGTAACACATGCTGATCTTTTGTCTAAGAACATATAATGATATTATAAGTTTAAATTCAGAATATCTTGGAAAATTATCAGTAGGTAAGGTACGTTGCGTATGTCCTTAAAATAAAAAAAACCCTGTAAAATGCAGAAAAATGAACGAAAAGATTTGAAAATTCCAGGTGCACACCTTTATATGGTGAATAATAAGTGTACAAATTTTCAGATTAATCCTTGCAATAGTTTCTGAGAAACGGTTCGGACAAAACCACAAAATAAACATAGGTAATCAGAGATTACAGAGCTCACCTCAACGAATGTTGTCTTTAAGTAAGGCAAAGTCACACAATTAACCAACAAAAAGTATACATTCCAAAAATGAAAATATTTTTAAAAGCAATTTTGATCTGATACTTTGAAATAGACCTACATAAAAAATTTAAACTACTTCTTCTTCATGAAAATGTAATGAAAATCCAGCATCTGAAGCAAATTTGAGAGTTTTCATCTCTTGATGCAGCATTTGTGCAAGTTTGGTTTATACAATGTTATATAAGCCTTATAGTTTTTGGTAATAGACCTGCAACCATAACTTTTACCTTGTCTATTATCTGAAAAATGTATGTCCAATTCAGCATCTGAAGCAAGTCCATTAGTGTGCATCCTTAGATGTATCATCCATGCAAGTTTGCTCATTATAGGGCTCATAGTTTATTGGAAATGAAACATGCATCAAAACTAACATTTTCACTCATCCACAAAAAGTAGGTCAGATTCAGCATCCGAAGCAAGCCTGGAAGTATGCATCCTTAGATGAATCATCTATGCAAGACTGGTCATTAAAGAACTCATAGTTCCTTGGAAATGAAACCTGCACCAAAAACTTTTAACTATTAACTCAACCGGAAAATGTAGGTCAGATTCAGCATCCGAAGCAAGCCTGGTAGTGTGCATCCTTAGATGTATCATCCATGCAAGTTTGGTCAACATAGGGCTTAAAGTTACTTGCAAATGAAACCTGCATTAAAAACATTAACCTGTTCGCTCAACTGGAAAATGTAGGTCAGATTCAGCATCCGAAGCAAGCCCGGTAGTGTGCATCCTTAGATGTATCATCCATGCAAGTTTGGTCAACATAGGGCTTAAAGTTACTTGGAAATGAAGCCTGCACCAAAAACATTAACCTGTTCACTCAACCGGAAAATGTAGGTCAGATTCAGCATCCGAAGCAAGCCCGGTAGTATGCATCATTAGATGTATCATCCATGCAAGTTTGGTCAACATACGGCTTATAGTTACTTGGAAATGAAACCTGCACCAAAAACTTTAACCTGTTCACTCAACCGGAAAATGTAGGTCAGATTCAGCATCCGAAGCAAGCCCGGTAGTATGCATCCTTAGATGTATCATCCATGCAAGTTTGGTCAACATACGGCTTACAGTTACTTGGAAATGAAACCTGCACCAAAAACTTTTACCTGTTCACTCAACCGGAAAATGTAGGTCAGATTCAGCATCCGAAGCAAGCCCGGTAGTATGCATCCTTAGATGTATCATCCATGCAAGTTTGGTCAACATACGGCTTATAGTTACTTGGAAATGAAACCCACACCAAAAACTGCACCAAAAACGTTAACCTGCTCCAAAAACATTAACCTGGTCATTCCTTTGCTGAAATTGCAGCATCTGAAACTTTGTCTGGTACAATAAAACACACTAAAACCATCTTCCATGCATGTCTAATCAGTATAGGACACAGAAGTAATTAAAAAGAAAACTGCTCCAAAAAACTTAACCTTAACCTGGGACGCCGACGCCGACACCGACACCGACGCCGACGCCGAGGGTATCACATAAGCTCCCCCCAACTTCGTTGAGGTGAGCTAAAAATGAAAAAACGCCTGTAAAATTCAACATAATAATCGAATCAAGTTGAAAATGCCAGGTGCACACCTTCATATGGTGAATAATATGTGTACAAATTTTCAGACCAGTCTTTCTGATAGTTTCTGAGTAATGGTCCAGACAAAATCTCGTCTACAGACAGACGGACGGACAGACAGACGGACATGGTGATTCCAATATACCCCCCCAAAACATCGTTTGCGGGGGATATAATTATACAAACCAGTGAACTCCATATCAGACATGGGGTCTTCAGTATAAGGTCTATGCATGGACTTGAAATCTGCCATTATGACCTAGTTATTGCTCTAGTCCCAAATCTGCAACTTAGTAAACAAATAATTTATTTGGCAATGCATCACTCTCAGCGGAAAAAAAATTAACAGAAACGGGTGCGTCGATTTACCCAAAAGGACCCAAAAAGAACCCAAAAGGAACCCAGAAGGACTCAAAATGAATATATTTCAAATACTGAAAATTAATTATTTAAATTAAATTTTGAATATTACATTATAAGTTCACATAAAAGTTGGTAAAAATATCAATTTCCATTGTTGTAACTTTTCTTAAGGAAGTGACATAGTGATACGCCTTATATATGGCATATCAAACACTTGTGTTGTTACAATAGTCGCTGACTATCGAAAAATCGTCGTTTGAAGGCCCAGATCGACGGCAATCGATTCTAAAAATTATCATCGATAGATGGCTATATTTTTCAAGCCGAGCAGGTTTAACTTTTATTTTCACCAAAGGGATGTCACTCTTACAGTCCCTGAAACGTTCTACTTTCCCACCTGAACGGTGAACGAACGCTGAACGAACGGTGAACGAACGCAGAGCGAACGGTGAGTGAACGATGTGCAAACGGTGAACGCAACTTGGTGAACGATGTGTGAACGGTGAGTGAACGCAGAACGCGAACGGAGCGCAAACGCGAGCGCAAAGTGAACAGTGAACGAACGGTGAACGCAAGATGAACGATTTATTCGGAATGCCTTTGGTCTTTTCCTTGCATTGAAGTTATTCTTTTATTCTATAATTTAAATGTCATAAATAAATATAAATAAACAATAGATAAACAAAAGAAAAATAGATAAATAAATAAATAATAAAAATAAAATTCTACACATACGTATGTTTAAATCGATATTTTTATAACACGATTTTAATCGCCATCAAACGTGTATTTGTTACCGCGTGTAGTTAAAAAATAAATTAATCTTATATAGTAAATAATTATGCTAATCCTTTAAACTAATAAAATAATGTGGACTTGAGAAGATGAAACTACTACTGAGATAAACAATAGATAAATAAATTAATGAATTAATCAATCAATCAATAAATAAAAACATCTTTCTGCACATACCTATGTTTAAATCGATATTTTAATAAAATGATTTTAATCGCCGTCAAACGTGTATTCGTTACCGCGTGTATAGCTAAAAAATAAATTAATCTACTAATATAGTAATAATTATGCTTATTCTTTTCACTAATAAATAATGTGGACTTTAGAAGATAAAACTACTACTTATAAAATGAATTAATTACATTGTACGGGGTTGAAACAACCGTACATGTATTTCCGTGCCAAAGCGATTCTGAGTAAAATAACGGGTTTTTTTTAAAAATTCACAATTTTCTGTTGACATTGACTGTTATCGTACTGCATAACAATTCTCGTTTTATTCAGATTCTACTGCAAAATATTCTATATTTATGTACCTTTTTATTCTTTTATGACGATTATTTTAGCTAACTTCTTCATGTATCTGTAGACATTTCCCGGCCGTGATTATACTCGGTCAAGATGTTAAAAAGAGGCATTCAAATTATTTGTAATACATGCGTAGATTCAATTTTCAAAACTAAATAAGTAATGCGTTGTCATAATTTTTATTGAACAGAGAAATGTACGAGAGAGAGAGAGGGAGAGAGAGAGAGAGAGAGAGAGAGAGAGAGAGAGAGAGAGAGAGAGAGAGAGATAACCCCCTCGATTCTCAGATATATATCAAATAAAAATTCTTATTATTTGTCCTAAATATTCCAAGCAATAAAGGTAATCTTTTTTTTTTTAGATTAACAAATCCATTTGACAGTTATCATTGGCTTTTATTTTCCCTTATCAAGTTCACACAGTTCACAGGAAGTCCGTGCTACATTTGTAGTAGCGTGCTTGTGCTGTCAATCAAAATGATTCGACGCAATGGAGATGTTGAAATCGCGTTTCACCGAACATGCCGAAGGCAAAGAGTCACTTAGTATTCCAAGAAATTTTAATATTTTCCCCTATTATTTCTAGATCTGATTTTTGCATTCCTGCAGAAAAAAAAAAATCAAAAATATACTTGGAAGGATTAAGTTTTAAATTGAATGTGAAACATATTCCCTGCCAATTTAAAATACTTCTGTCGGCACAAGTTTATAATAAAATACTATTGTTTAATGACTGTTTGATGTTGGTTTTAAGACTGATTTTCTTGTGCTACAATAAAAACTAAATATAAATTAAAATATACTGTAAAAACTCAATAAGAATTTTATTTCGGGAGAAAAGGCACCAAGGGGGGGGGGGGGGGGGGGGGGGCTTAATTATACTGAATGGCAAAAAACATTTTTTTAAACATATGTTTAGGTACGGTGAAGGAAGGAATTTGCCTTCTCTGATAATAGACTATTTTAAACAGTTGGTCTTTTCTAAAATTTAAAACCACACCATCAATTTAATTATCTCTAAAGATATTTAACTAACTGAATATTTGCAGTACTGTTCATAATTCTCAAACCTACATGTAGTTTTAAATACGTGTTACTGTAGTAATATTTTTTATGTATTCTTGTTCTGCAAAAGACTTTGATTAATTATTATACATCCATTAATAATTTGTCCTCTTTAAAATTACATAAAATTGATGCCGTGCATGCAATATTCGTACATTGCCCTTTATTGAAGTTAATATTTTAGCATCGTTCTACATACATGTAGGTACTTCATGTATTAATTATTTTCCAGGGAAAATTCATGAAATAAGTAACAGCTGAATTATAATAATAGAAATATAAATATCATAGATAATTTTTGCAATGAAATAATTATTCTTCAAACACGATATCTAAATTATTTAATTAAAAAACATGTAAATCCTTACAATCAAAGAGATAAGTCCTTTCACTTCGGAGTTCCGAATGACAATGAAGACTGAACGATAAGTGAACGGTGAACGCAAGGTGAACGCAAAGAGCGAACGATGAACGTTTTGTGAACGGTGAACGCGAGCGCACGGTGAACGGTGAACGCAATACTGTGAACGAAGAGCGAACGGTGAACGCACGCTGAACGAACGGTGAGCGAACGCTGAACGAATGGTGAGCGAACGGAAAAATGGGAAAGTAGAACGTTTAAGGGACTGTATCAGTGGTAAACAAAATGGTGAACGTGCATGGTGAAGAGGTTGACGCCGAATTATATCCATATCCTATTTTAAAAAATTCTCAGGATGAATAAATTTAACCTTTTTTAATAGTTCAAATTATCGATTACATAATCGATTGTGTTCTTCCGAATCAATTTGATAATCGATAGTAAAATTTGTCCGATTTTACAACACTATCAAACACCAAATCTGGTCAGATAAGCTTGATTGTTTTATTTTAGCTGAAAATAACAAAGTATTTAAATATCATATTTTTAATATATTCGATCAGTGCATACTATTAGTTCAAGATATATTACTGTAGTCAGTGGCCACTCACACATATTGTTCCAATGAAAATAGTTCCATCATTAATAAGTATATACAACATAATTGTTCATGATAAGAACAATGTTGTGTATGTCATCATGGTCATACGTAAAAGAAACCAAAATTAATGTTAATTTTTCCTCCAAAGATCTCTTTCCCTGCTAAATGCAAATAAAAATGTTAATATTCCTACGCTCGCTCCCTCCTCAGGTTTTTTTTAACTTGTTTGATAACAGAAATTATTATATAGTCTATTTATAATCTCTATATAATCTATACAAACGCAAACAGTTCATAACACTACATATTCACCGGATTTGAGTCCATATTCACCGGAGGGTCATTGCGCGTGCAACGACATTGTGACGTCACAATCAAAACATCAAACAACGTTGCAACGGCCGCAGCGAGCTACATATCTGAGCAGGAAAACAATTACTGGGAGTATTCTAACCTATTTCAAGTTTATTTTTAACATTTGGATGTCTTGCAAAGCGAAACTCGGAAAGGAAAACAGGGAGGAGACAAACTGTAATAAATCTGGATATTTTTTTTTAGCGACGGGAGTTCGTTAATGAAAATGGGTGGTCATTCAGCCTTCAATGTCTTATTTATTCATATTCAGACTATATAATAAAACAGCTTCGCCTCGGTCAATATGAATATATTTCTGGTGAATAACAAATCATATTCAACACCAAAAGAGTCTATAATTGTATAATATCTAGGTCATTCTTTGATATTTTTTCACTGATGAACTGATTATGCTACATCAACAACTGTAGTAACTAGTAAAATCATGTTAATTATTCATTAATTACCATATACTTTCCTCTTATAGAATAAAAAATTATTCTGTGTGTGTAGTATATTAAATGACAGAATTTTCCATCCCTGAGCAGATTCCAGCACATATGTAGACAAACTACACATAAGAAAGTACAGGTCTATAAAATGTGTAACAAAACCCGAACTGGCCGGGGATTTCTAAACTGACAAATCGTTTAATTTTTATTAATTATCAGAATTTATACTCATGTGATCTAATTATGAAAAAAAGTTCTGTCTGCCATCGTAACTTCTCTGTTCGCAGGAGTCGGTTTGACAACTCCATCGCAAGTGTGTATAGACCAAGGCTAATTGGTCTTGCGGACATAGGTATGTGTACTGTTTGTTAGCAAGTTTGGAGACTGGGTGACCGTAATGCTATGGACTCACGAAATTTACAAAAGTTCTATAACTAGACAGTGCAGTTTTATTTTTATAAGCGTCATTAAACACTGCTGAACAAATTAAATCTAAAAGCATACATGCCAACTTTCCTGATTAGGTGGGATCCTCCCGATTTTACCTTATCATCCTGCTTTCCCTATCGGGAGAGAAAAATTGCCCTAATTTCTCGGTTAAAAAAAAAATCCACAAAATTTCCGATTTTAAAAGTTTTCTACTGCTGTAATTTGACAACTGGGATAACAAAGTCAGACTTGTTTATTCAATGCACACAGATAAGTTTCATTGTTTAACTAAACAGGTGTTAAATTAGCAACAGGAAATCACTTCACGCTTTATCTACCTAT